ACCTGGCTCCAAGGTGAGCCTGAGACTGCTGCTAGTAGCTCCCTTCCCCCCTGTTCAGTGAATGCCAAAGCACAGAAATTAGGCAATATAATGAGCTTAGACATTGAACTAAAACCAAGCCTGAGACAGCCAAGGAGTAAAGCTCAGGGCCATGTGTTCACGGTGACGCAAAGCCAGCTATGCTGCCTAATTTCCACTGCTGGCATGCTGAGGAAAAGTATGTGGGAGGCATGTGCTTCTCAGTGGTGGTCTTGAACTTGGCACAGCAGCAACATAGTCAGGCCCTAAAATTCAAACTGACTATTTTTCCATGCACCTGCAAACCCATACTCTGTCTATTCATAAGCTATAAAAAGTATTAGCTCCAACCTGCCAAGTTTTTTTTTGGAATTAATTTTATTAGCAGTTTTTAACTTCTCTTTCTCTTGTAATGAAGGGTTTGCAATGTATTTTAGCTAACATAGCTAACACTGCATTGATATTTTTAAGAGATTTCTCATATTCAAAAGGTCATAGCTACACAAGCCCTAAAATAGAAAAGCAAAATTTTAGCTGCCAACCTGTATAAGCTTGCTGAAGAAATGTTTTCAATATTCTGAAAACTACGAGTTAGTTTTATACAGATGAATTCAGTTAATAGGTTGAGATAAATTAGAAGGTAGAACAAGCTTTAAGGACATGTCTCTATTATAATTATATAAAATTTTAACATGAAAAAATCTATTTTGTATTAGGATATATGTTATAGGACTCAAACTCACTGTGAGATCCAGTGTAAATTGGATGTATTTGAAAATTATTGCAAAGTGTGTACACACAAGGTATTATATATCCCATTTCTTCAACTGTCTCTTCACTCTATTCTGTGGCCTCGACTCTTCTTTTCTTTAGCATCATCAGCTTTCTTATGAAGTCTTCCAGATATATGGGATATATGGGATGGAGCCGTAGTTAGTCAAATAATTGTTTAAAAGACAAGTGGTTTCCCTAATAGCTAAAGGCCATGAAATATAGCTAGTCTCAGAAATGTGTGCTCTTTTGTTCACATGTACACTTTATTTCTGCTTCTCATCTTTTTTCTTCGGGTCTTTCCTAACCTTATATTTAGGAAACCATTCCTTTCCTGTGCTGCAAGACTCTCTGTGACTCTTCCTGTAATATTATAAGATATGTTCACCACAAAGAAAAAAACCCAGTGGATTCAGGGACACCATAAACACTTGAATAAAATAAACAATGAATCTCTTTTCTTCTTTGTTGCTTTGATATGATATAATGGGTTGATTACAAACTTTGCATTTCCTACCATAAACTTTCTCTTACTCTCCAACATGTAGATTTGTCCTGAGCCCTCTACATCCTCTATCCTTTCTCAGCAGCCAGTTGACCAGCAGTTGCAAGGGCAAGAAAGAGAATCTAGGGTATATGTTACTGCTTCTAGGGTATATATTTGTCTGCCTTAGGGTATAGGGTACTGCTTCTGCCCTGGCCAGTTAGTATGATCTCTAATGAGTGTAATTAAGAAGAATGGCCTGGAGGGATAATATGAAGCAGTGTTACTTGCTGATGCCACTAAGTAATGTAAAACACAGATTCCAGCGCAGGAATCCAGCACATGCTAAAGTCAACATTATACTTATAAGTCAATTAATTGCATAATTAATTTTGTTTATATACCAGTAAAAATGTTTTTAATGAGGTTGTTCAGCAGTGAAAATAATATGTAGACTGGCTATTAACTCATTTGGAGGGCTGACCCTAATTTATTTGTCTGCAGCAGTCATAGGATGCTGGTTGATACAGCACATGGCCACAGGCATCATAAGGTATTGTTTCTACCTCAGACAACAATGACCAAAAGCATTCATGTTCACTAATATTATATCATAGCTTCCCTGTTGAGTTGACCAATTCTAAAAACAACATGGTCAGTGGAGGTCAAATGAATCTGAAGATTATGGCACCTGTGGCTGATGATTATTTTTCAGGTACTTAACTCATTTGTGGGGCCTATGAACCTAATTAGCAATTTATTTAATTTTAAAAGTCTTGCTGACAATATTGCAGTCAAGTTAACCATAGTGGTAAGTATCACTCATTTGCTCCCATGTCACATACCTTTTGGCAGGAAAATTAAAAAAAAGATAAGAATATAATCATTTGGCTGTTCCTACACATGTGTCTGGTGGCAAGAAACCAGATAATTCAATGGTGCAACTGAAAATCCTGCAACAAGAATGATGGGCCAAAGCATATCACTGAAATCAGGAACTGGATATTTATTTGCTATGGACACCAATTCATTAAGTAAAGACAAAATGTTGGCACTGATCATAGAATGACTGTACTACAAATGTGGCAACACATTTTTTTATTTATTTAGAGTAAGATGTGTTAACATCCAGCATGACAAAATTTGTACAAAGTTCACAATTTAAAAATGAAGTATCACAGCAACTTGTGATTCCACACATTTATAGCAAAATTAAAATGTCAACAAATCCATGCCGTGTAGTACAAAAATAAATCAAACTTCAGTTCCACAGAGAGCACAATAAATAGTTTATACAAAATTCTGTCTTAATAAATGATTACTTAAAGTAACTTAGAAATGAATATGAACAATAAGTTATAATAAATAAACTCTGATGACTCACAATAATTTCATATGAAAGGTCAGCATTCTAATATGTGACACTTTTGTGATCCCTATATAATAGTCACAGATAACTTTTGATTTGATATTATGTACCAACATTAGATGAGCAGCAGATTTGTGCTTAAAATCCCTTTCCATTGTACATAGGTGATAACAATAAGAATCCAAAACTGATACTACCTATTACTCTACTGAAAGCATTACTATATTGGCAAAGAAGCTGCAGACACAATGCAGTGGAAAAATGCATATGCCATTATGAACAATGAAAACCCTAAAAGGAGGCTAGGGCAAAAGTACAATATATATGGCAGAAGGTGAACAACAAGCACCTTGCTTCAGCTCTCAAAAAGGCAATTCTGAGCATGGCAGCTACAACTAATAGCACAACAGAAAAAGGGCACTGTACAGATAAGATACTGCAGAGCCCCAAAGTAATTACATAATCTTTTCCCAGCTAGTTATTAAAGTCCTCGTGGAAAACTGTAAGCTTTTGTACAGTGAATAGTATAAAGTGCCGCTGGGATATACATATATTTATACATATATATATATACCGAGGTTGAGTATTGTATCAGAATATTTGTTGTGAGATCCCTGTAGTCTCCCTTAGCAATATTACTGGATTGGCCATAATGGCTTCCACTATAATTTGTTCAGGTTTAGTGTCACAAGGCTAATGACACAAGAAATTGCACACCTCCGTATGGATATATAGGGCAAGGTAAGTGCAAATAGTCAACTGGCACATTGTGGGGACAATGACCCTGTAAGTCCTGTTCTGCTAAAAATATTTTATTTTTTACAAAACCCATCTTTTTCATAACAAAATTTTAAAGTACTTTTGTACTTTCTGCATAACATCAAGACATGGAAGGAAAAGATATGCTATCAAATTTAAATAAATTCAACATCTGTAAAACACAACACATCATCAAAATTACTACTTAAGAAGGAAAAAATGTAGTAAGAAAAAGTGGTCTTATGCATACATATAGTGCAGTTGTTTTGAAGAAAACAATCAAATATTGAAGGTATAAATAAGTTTTCTCTTAAAATGATCCAGTTTAAAGCAAAAAAAGTGCTGAAGTATATTTAGTTACATTAAAAATTTGATTGCATTCATTTTTGCAATAAGGAATAGAACAAATACAAAGCATATGTAAATGCTGCAGTAATGATTGTTCTCCAACAAAAGTCAAAATATAAATGTTAAAGTACTAAAAATGGGACCAAATGCTTGGCAAAGCAAAAGAAAAAAATCTTTACTGAACTGCATTCCTACTAAAGCAAGCAATGAATCCAGTTCAGTAACTGTATTAGACACAAAACATTTGTGTTTATCCCAAAATTAAAAATGTAAAAAAGCAATATTTTAAAATATTGTCCTCCATCTTAAATTGAAAGTACAGAATTTCTGAAAGATGAACTACATTGCTATAACAGATAGTTCAGAGGGGAATTAAGCAGTCCAGGAGAGATAAGAGAATGGTGGCTCCAAAGTTTATTTGGAAATAAAAGCTGAAATCTTCACGTTGTCCACCTCTGATATAGTTCCTTTCATAATGGAAGTTCTCATATTCATACCATGTAATGCTTAGAAGTTAATTAAAAAGTGCTGTTTAAGCTGCTTTGAATCTTCTGTCAAGTTTCCATGGCTTGATGTTGTCTTACAATAAATTACCCATTTTGTATCTTACATCTAATCCATGCCATTTTCTTGGAATTCAAAAAACCTCATTTTATTGCCCCCACCACACACCAACCTCCGAAAACGAAAGTCACATAATATTTTCAAGCATTGTTCAAAAATAAAGCATTTTTGCAACCAATTCTTGCTATGAAACAATATGCACACAAAATGTATTTCTTAAATCCCATAAAATCCTCCAACATGAGGCAAAATGATAGTGTTTAAAAAGTGGCTGCAGACCGCAACATTGTCATTCAAAGCTGTTTTTTTTTTGTCCATTTCAGTTCAAAATACTAAAACATTTAATCACTAAAGCATTAAAAAGAATTTACACTCTATTTATTTTGATCAGCTTACCTCTTCAGAAATATATATACCCCAAAAATGTGCATACATTAGCAGCTATAAACATTACATGGCATATCACACTATGTCAGCTTATATGAAAACGTACAAAATGTGAATGTATTCAAAAAACTATTCTGCAGTTACTATCTTTAAAGCAAGACATAAAATCATTATGAAGTCTTGTAAGCATAACACTGTTTCAAACAGAAATAAATATATAACACTTTCTGGTAAATTACAGCAGCAAAAAACAAGAGGCATCCTTTTTTTAAGCAAGACTTTCACCACTATAGCAGCTGTTCAGACCTGAATTCCTCTCACAGCCTGCTTTATATTTTCCAGTAGGGCTTTATTTTCTGGACTCTGATAACGATCTTGATTTGTATACATGTCCGTCAAAGTGGTCACGTAAGCATCAAAATTTTGTTCATTGATTGGTTCCTACGAGATATTAAATAGTAGTTCATATACAACTTTTATCTTTGTAATCGTATATTCATTTAAGCATAACATATAATCAAGGCATATTGCCACCATTTGTTATAATATTTAAAATGCCTATTTAGATCTTACTTAATTTTACAGGATACATTGGAACAGGCCCGCCATGTCTTTGTTAGCCGTTAGATTTATCTTTATGGTTTCAGTGTTGTTACCACAAATATCCAACTGGTTGAGGAACCATAAACATAAAAAAGACATCTACTGTATGAAGTGAACTGAAGATCGCCAAATTCCTTAACTTGTGCTCTCAATCACTTACCATATGTGGCAGCTGGATATTAGCTAGACTATGAATTAAAGACTGGCTTAAATTGGCCAATTCATGAAGAAGAGACTCATTTTGCTGTTCAATTACTTTGTTCTCCTCTTCTATCGTCTTCAGGTTGCTCTCCATTGTGGTAATCTAAAATGGACAAATTTGTGTACAATGTAATATAAGGCAAGCCGTTATAAAGCATGCGCTCTTTGAGTGAGTAATAACAGAAATATCAGAGGACAAAAGACCATTTTGTTCATCTAAAAAGGTTTCATGTAAGAATAGCTAATACTTAGGGGTAATTGTAGGATTTACTTTAACGGCTTGTCTTTCTATGGTGGTAATACTGATTTAATATAGATTTGATTGCATTGGCTTTATATCATCTTAACACTTTTAAAATAAATATCCTTTTTGCATCTAGAGACATTAATATAGGCCTTGATACAACAAGCGGACCCAGGTGGGCAGACTCTTACAGCCATGTTGAGTCCATGGGGCCCTGTACTGATGTAAGAATCCATCCATGGTGGTTGTAGGTTCAGGGCCAGTATCAATGAATTATATGTTTATCATATTTTTTTTCATATACTTAAGAGTGCACAACTTTTTTCTGGTACAAGTGAGCTCTTTGCAATGATATTTAAATTCAACTTATAATAGCATAATACATATTCTCTTATACACAGCTGCTAGTGAATGATTTACACATTTTTTGTGCAATATATAACAAAATAATGTAGAAGGAGGATCTGAAGACTGTTTTTCATTATTGTATTGTGCTATAAGAGGTGTGAATGTTTGTGTGTAATAAAAAACCTAAATAAAATCTTGTTTATTAGCATTATGTTATTTGTTGATGTCTGGCCTGTTGCATATTTACTAAGGGTCAGAGCTATTTACTAAGGGTCTTTCAAGCTGTTCAGGCACTCAGGAGCATATCCAAAGAAGGACTTGCACAGGTTTAGTGGGATTTTAAGTGGCTAAGACAAAAATTGCAAACATTGTATAGTGGCAGCCTGACTCCAGAGGTGCCTAAACTCATGGGCCACGTCCACACAAGTGGGACGTTTTGTTTTCCCAGGGACAAAAAGCAGTGGTACTCCTTGTGCAGCTGCTACTTGTCCCTGGGGAATGCCTGTAACACATGCCCAGCAGCCTTGCTTGGAGTCCTGGGGGGCTCCTGAGGCTGCAACAGTGGTGATCCTGCCGTTTGGAGCCTGGTGCGCAGCCAGTGTGTGGCTCTGGCCGGCCAGGCTCCAGTTTTGGGTGGCATATGCTATCCTTTCTTGCACCACCCCGTTTTTTTGTGGAGGGGAAGGTTTCTGACCCCAGAATCTGCCAGGGTCAAACCCTGCTCTCCCCTCAGGCTGCTATATTGGGGCGTGTGTAGACAAAATGGGGGCCCTAAATTGAAGCAGTGGGTTTAAAAACCCACCACTTCACTTTGGGGCCCTTTAAACCCCCGTGTCGTGCACACACCCCGCACTTACCTGCCCCTCCGGTGGGGAAGGAAGGGTGAGCTGCTGGCGGGCAGAGTGGTCCCTGGGCTGCGGGGTGGGGCAGGTGTTTCCTGCAGCAGCGCCCTCCCCCCCGCCCCGGCGGCACCCACCCGCAGGCATCCAGCTCGGGCAGCCCCGGAGGGTACCACAGCTGTGGAGGGAAGCACTGGGCCCCTGCACAGCTCAGGCAGGCAGGCAGGCAGGCTCTGGGGGTGGGGAGATCAAACTTGCCGCTTTTTTTTTTTCCTCTCTTGGGTGGAGACTGCCTTCCCAGGCTGCTGCCAGGCTGCCTGCAGAGCTTTCTGCAGAGCCCCTAAGCCTGGTGCTTCGCTCCGCGGCTGTAGGGGCAGCAAACTAAAACTCCTCGGAGGAGTTTTAGTTTTCTGTGCCCCAAGTCATTTAAGGCACATTACGCCACCAAATTTCTTACAGTGGATGGAATTAATGCACAATATGCCACTGAGGCGCATTTAGCCCACTTTAAAGTGTCATGCACACATGCCCCTCATTTCATCTACACACAGCCTTGCTGCTCAGAGAACAGCTGAATGTGCTTGCAGCAGCACAAATAGTAGCGGCACAAATTTGTGTCACTACTTTGTGCCTCAGTGGACGCCCCTGCACACGTGCTTTGGTGAGGGACAAATTGTCCTGCTTCTGGCAAACTGACCTTCCCCCGCTCCTCTCAGCTCCCAGCATGCTGGAGCATCTTGGGCACAAATGAAACAGTAGAGATGCTCTGGCCAGCAGCCAGAGTGTCTCCCTGGAGGAACGAGCTTCTGTTTTTTCTGGCACACACTATTGTAGCATGTGCTGCATTGCTTTTTCTCACTGTGTTTTGTTTTTGGGTTTTTTTGCTACCAGTCAATCCTGGTAGCAAATTTTGCCCCCGTGCTGCAACTCTGCACTGCAGGGTATGTTTTAACATGCCAGGTGTGCAGTTTGGGGTGCTGCAAAGAGGTCTATAGTCCTACAAACCACATGTGATTGCATGTCTTGACGCGAACTAAATGGCAAGATATACAAAGGGCTATGCATTCATAAGTACTGTAATGCTCACTGCTGCCTTCCCTAACTTCCTAGCAGACGCCAGGAGTGGAATTCAGAAACTCAAGTTAGGTGCCTAAGAACAGGATTCACAATAGCCAGTTTGCTGAGGAGTGAGGCAAGGGAGGGACATCCAATTTAGTCAATAGGAAATATTGGAGATATTTCCTTTTAAAATCCTCATCTCTTAGACTAAAACACCTCCATGATATTGGGATTCGCACCCCTTTTCCTTTCCCCCACACTGGACTTAGATGCCTAAGTTGCACTTTCAGGTAAAGATAACTGGTGTACTCAGAAGAGAAAATAAAGATAAGGACAGTGGTATTGTGACTACCGTTATTATATAATAGTCTAGTGGTTAGAGCACTCACTCAGGAAATGGTAGACCTGGGTTCTACACTCTCTTCAACGTGTGCTGATTCATAGCTAGGTATCCCACCTACAAGGAGGCTATGAAGGTAGATTGCAGGTGATCCATTCCTCTTGTTGAAGCTGGTTTATTTTGAAAGGCTCATGTGGAAAGAATGAATAAGCAAGAGGGAGTATGACTCTGTAGTCCTGTGGAGCATTCTCCTGGGTTGGGGGACCCCTGGAGTCTGAAACTATTTTTACTTTTTATCCCATGACACTTTAGCACAAAATGAATAAATAGCCCGAAGAGAAGGAGCTGGAACCCAGGACTGCCTCCCTGCCAAAGGGGTGCTCTCATCAGTAGGCTACAGTGTCATGCACTCTCTTCCTTACTATCTCCCTAAAATCTTGCAATCCTGTTTGGTCATTGGCCAAGCTTCAACAGGAGGGCCTATTGGCTTTGTGGATCAAGTGATCTACCCAGGAAATGGGTGCTGTGGAGAGACATGAATCCAGATCTCCCACTGGCAGGCTGAGTGCTCTAACCATCAGGATAAGGTCAGCCCTGGGACCTTAAGACCTGACGAGGTCTTAAGAAAAAAAAGTAGGCTTGATTTCCCAAAGGAATGACTAAGGTGTCTGAGTCAAGGAAGTGATTTGGGAATGTAAGCCCCAATCTCCCATTCATACAGGTAAGACACCTAAATATGGGAGAGAGGCAGGATTTCAGATACAGCCGTTTCTTTCACTATTCAGGTTAGAAGTCCCTCTGCTTAGTGTTTTAAATCTTGGATTCTTGGATACTTAGCTCTCCCAGTTCATTGCATAAGTAACGGGTGCCTAAATCAGGTTTGTGATTTACTGGGTGCACCTCCTGTACCATCTCTGGGGCTCTTCAGCTCATCTTACCACTGTCTGCTTCACCACATGCACTTAACTGCACAGTAGATTAATTAGCTGTCTACATGTGCAACGCTATTAGACCACAGCAAACTAATTTTTGCCACCATAAGATAGTACTGTTGGGGACAGTACTATCTTACTGTGAAGAAAATAACTGCCTAAACACATGTGTAAATGCTAACCCAGGTGTAAATTATGCCTGGTCAGCCCAGGCAGCAGGGGTCCAGACCTCTGCCTGCTGCCTAGCCACACACTCTGGTCCTTGGGCACTACTGTGCCCCAGACAGCCGCCTCCGCCACCTGAAGCCACCACCCAGAGTCCAGGGCTAACGTGGCAAGCCTGCTGCCAGGCCGGGGCTGCTCCACCCCAGTTCAAACTGCTGTGGTCCAGGGCGCCCATGTAAACACTGGACCTGGGAGTAGTTAACTCCAGCACAACTGTACCGGAGTTTATCATGTCACCTTAATGGCATGTGTAGATGCACCCACTAGGTATGAGGTTGATATAAATATAATGGTCATGCTTACAAAATGTATTCCATTTTTGAGAGACATTAGCATTTCTAGCAATATTATCTATGTTAAATATATTATTCAGACAAGTAGCATCTGTCAAAAAAAAGAAGACACTTTTTTAAGTTTTCGAAGTGTACGTGGTTGTTTGCTTTCCATTGCACAGGACAACTAAGGACATGCCCTTGCCAACAATGTGTCCCAGCCTGGCCGCTCCTGAGAGTATTTGTGTCTTTCAAAACCTGGAAATATGCTGGTGAAAATACTTTAGGGTCAAGACCTTGGTCTTTGGTGTATTCAGAAGTAGGTACTGGAGATGACCCCAGAATGTCTTTTCAAGAATATTTCTGGGTTTGGAGCATGCATATGGACATCGGTGGGTAGGGCACTCTGAGGAATGACCAGGGCAGAGAGAAATGTCACTGTAGGGTGACATGCCATCCGTGTACAGCGTGTGTACGAGTGGGCATGGGTGGGTATGAGTATGGATACTAAGATACCTATTGGCAAGAGGGTAGAAAATGAAGCTGGAGAAGTAAAACTAATACCAATATGTTCAAATTCTCAAATGAATCTCAAGCCACCTCTAATTTAGGATCCACACTAAATTATAGAACAAAATGATGAATTTTGATATTGAACAATCTGATTTGTAATTGCAATCATATTATGGTCTGGGTGCTTATAATAAATCTTCAAATGAGAACTTTAAGGTTGAAGGGGAGAAGATCCTTATGTGACCATCTACTTTATCTCATACAATCAGGTCACTACACATCTCATTGTTATGCCCATTATTGTAGACACAAAATTAGAGGCTGTTTTTGAAAATTTGGTGCTCAATATTAATTGATGAGAGCAAATATTTTCTGAAGAACTCTGTGTACATATGAAATTAATTCTTGAGTTGGTCTGACTTTGGCTACTGACATTTATGCAGCAGATAATTCAGGATGAGGCTTATATTGCTGGTTTGTAGGGTTACATTTCTTTGGAAAAGGTTCTTGAACTATTTTTCTATCATTTTGCAACCGTGCCAATTTCAATGAAATTATTTTTACTTTAGCAGAAGTAATGGAAGCATATTCAAACACTTCTGGATTGTATTTTTCTATGTCAGGGAGCAGACAAGGCACATTACACATACAGAAAGACAGAAGAGTTCTCTTTGGAATACAGCACAAAAGAGTAGTCATTGCCACTATGAATGTGAATGTTTTTGTGATTTTTCCTTTGTTGAAGTCAGCCATTTTGACAATCATTACATTTAAATATTCATCGTTAAAGTATATCAAAAGTAATGATGGAAGTCAAGAGTTTGACATCAAATATCATAAAAATAGATATTCTGTGAAATGCAGGGTGCTGTCAATACCCATTGACTTCAGTAGAATTTGAGACTGCACAATATCTTGCAAGATTAATCCTTTAGCAGTTGGTCATCCATTAGGATTTTTTTCTTTCTCTTGAGGTGCTAAGCATCTAACCTGTGTTGATTTTAATGAAGTTACAGAGGATAAGGATTTAACACACTGCTACTTTCATAAAATACTATCAGCAATTTGTACAAGTAGTTACTTCTCACACTGACAGAAAGTGAAGTCCATATTCTACCTTAATTTACTGTCCCTTACATATTTCCCAACTTATGTAAAGAAATATGATTGAAGTCTAAACCAGGCCATGCATTTTTATATCACTTTACTTTTCGTTAATATTAAAAGCCTTAACTTTGATAGTCTTAGTAACTGCTCCACTAAGTCTGTGATTTTAAAATAAAAGCTGGTTTTCCTTAGGAAAGTTAAGGAGATCAGAGTATTACTTTTAAATTATTATCAAGTCTGACTCTCCTATGATTCTCCATTTGGTGCCAATAATTTATTGGCAGTAAATATCACCATGACACTTTTACCCCCTTTCCAAGGCTGTTCCACATCAAAACATATATGAGGTCCCCTGAACATCCCTTAAGAATGTGCAGTGGGGAGAACTCCGCAACTTTCTTCAAGTATGCAATGACCCAAAATAAACCCTTGCCCTGTTTTCTGAGAGCGTGCAGTTTGAGATAGGAAAACTAACAGCTGGAGACTCAAAATACTAGAAACTAAAGTAAACATATGATCATTATGTTGATACAGCTCTGTCTGCCAAAGCCCTGATCCTGCAAGCACTTTCATATCTCAGTAACTTTATGAATGTGTATGTGATTGCTAAAGGATTTTTTAAATATTTTATTCTATTTATTGATCCAAAGACATCCAAAAATATGTAGGGAGTTACCTCCCCCACCCCCTTGGTGAATTTCGGTTTAGTCCATACATGAATACCATACAGTTGGGCCTATAAGAAGTTCACATACACAGATCTTCATAAGGATTGCATCCCTATTACACTTTACTTATCAAAAGAACACAAGTACTGGGTGTTATCAAAACAAGCCAATATCTTGCCAATGCACATGTATAGATTTTATGGTGTTTGGGTGCATCTACACGAGACACAACATCACTGTAGTGGTGAGCTATGGTAATGTAGCTCACCGCTACTGTGCAGTAGCAATGAGCTACTGCGCAGTAAGGTCGGAAACGACCTGAACATCGCCAGGACTGAGCAATACTAACTGTGCAATGGGGCACACATGTAGACATACCCTTTGGGTGGGAGGACTGTTTCGTATTTTTTTTAATTTCATGTTAAAAAATGTTAATGCTGCTCATATAGCTACTCATATGTTATAGCTCATATAGCTACTCATACAGTTTCCTTACATATGACTATAAAAATACTTTGACACAAATGTCAATAATGATAAGAAAAGCCCTAAGTATAGAGTCATGGAATGGTTAAACTTGATACTGGTTTGGCTAGGATATAACGATACAAAATCTATGGGTCAGATCCTGCTCATATTTCTTTTGAACAAGGGAAGGCAGGCACAGTCAGCTATACAGACTGCTGGAGTGGGACTTTCAAAAATGGATGCTACTGGCTTAGCATGGCTCTCATTGAAGTCAAGGGGCTTTTTAGAAGAGAACATACTGAGGTTGGTAAATGGAACACACTTTGAAAAAATCACACCCTCGGTACTTGCTCTCCATAAGCACAAGTTGTGGGCAGATGAAGTGCTACCAACTGTACTGGATATAAGATTTGACTGGAAAATGTTGGGGAAATGACAATTTCAGTGAATGGTGGATGAAAAATTTTACCATTCTTACTCCTTCCCTCATTTTCAAACTAGCCAGAAAACCACTCAAGGCTGTCACCAAAAAGAGGTTTTCTTGAAAAGCACAAATGAGAAATTTTACAATGTATTTTTCTGTTTTCTGCTTGCTCCTGTGGACCCCTGATGGGCTTAAAATGAGCTGTGAACCAGGTCTCTGGTTCTCTGGGTATGGAAGGCACACAGCCTGCCATATGTGAAGGTACAGCAGTTGCTGTTTCTCTAGCATTAATTCCTTCTGCAAGCAGAAGGCCTGGTGCACACTGAGCTGTCTATCCATACTCCTTGCCATAGCAGTGCATAAAAAAGTTAGCCCTTTGAGAGTGTAACTGATGTTACGGTTGCATATAACCTTACCAGAAGAAAATGCAAAACTGTCTACACAGGCCATCCTTGGCGACAATTTTGGAAAATATATTTAGCCGTGGCTTTCATTTTTCTTATAACTGGTGGCGTGTCTCATAGATATAGCAGTGCAGATAATATTTTCTAAACTTGTAAATGACAAATTAAATAGGAAATAAAAGCAAAATGTGTAAAAGAGAATAGAGTATTTCCTACATTTCTTTTCACCAATTGTACATAAAAAGTGGCTGAATTTAGGGCTTCATAAAACTGTTACCTGAGTTCTGAGTTTAATCATATCAGCTTCCATCTGGGAATTGGATTCATTTAGTTCCTTGATTTCTTCATCTAACTGCTTAATTTCTTCATCATTTTCTATACCTGTGCAATATAAAAATAAAAGAGACTTTAAAAATTTAAGCTATAAATCTAAGTTCAGTCATCAAGTCATTTCACATTTGAAATTAAACTTATTAAAGTAAACATTCAAAACCCTAAGACTCATCAAACTCTTGGGGCTATGCGGGGGGCAAGTACAGACATGAAAGAAATGGTAAATAAACTTCCCTAGCAAGTGCCTTTACTGACCCAACCCTTGAATCTGACAAACTTCCCATGGTTTGCCATAGTGGTAACTCTTCTAAATTAAATCATGAAATTATTTTGAGCCAGATGTCTGGGGCAGGTTCTGATGAAGAAAGTTTATGTTGCCCTTAGCAAAGATGGTCACTGCTATTCTTTGGGAATGAGAATGAATCCTAATCGCTCTCAGGAAAGATGCTACACTGGCCTATAGAAAAGAGTGGCACTATGAGGACTGGGTGAACATACAGGCATCAAAAGGAAGGAATGAGTAATGTGGATGTAGCAGACAGCAATGGGGTATATGTGAAGAAGGCAGCAAAACAGAAGAGGAAGACTCAAAGCAGAATGAGCAGGGAAAAAAAGAAAAATCATGGAAGACTGAGGGGAAAGGAAAGGCAAACACATGAGGAAGGTATCATACCCAGAGGCTATGAAAAGAGCATGGAAGGTGGGTACATGTGGGGCAGAAGACTGGTCATGACAGAATGGATAGGTGAAAGCAGGATAATGGTAGGGTAAAGAGGCCTAGAACGGCAGTGCCCGTATGCCAGGAGTTATGAGGGAGCAAGTGGAATCCCCTGCCTAATTTCTTCCAACATTTTTGCTTCTGATTTAGGGTTGATTTTTGAACTATATAAACTGTAACAGACCAGCTTCTTCCTACAACTTCACAGAGAAGAACACTGAGAAACTTATTTTTTACATCTCTCAGTTTTTAAAACACGTCCATACTTTTGGGGAGGTCTGGTCATGATTTCTCAATGCTCAGGTTCTCAATGCTCAATGCTCAGTTCTGCTACCATTGCCTTCCTCAACCTTCTGCCTCCCACAGTAACCAAAGTTGATGGAACAACCCAGTTTATCCCAGCTGAGGATCTGTCCTGATATGTTAAGAAGTGGAAGACAATTTTCAGTCTGCTATAGTATATTAATATAATGTACTATAATAGACATACACTGAATGGCTTAAGGAAATCACATCAATTGTGCTTAAGTTTAAAAAAAAGGACTTTAGCAGAACACGTCAGCATTTTGTGATTAGGGCAAAAATAAGTTCGAACACATTGGATATTTCCTGTTCTATTTAACATTTCTTTTCTCAATAACAGTGAACAACAAATAGAGGGGTTTCCAAAAGGAGACACACCCGCAAAAGTTGAATGAATCCCCCAAAAAGATAAACAGACTTACATACATACAAACAAGTGGTTTGTATATACGTGTACAAGCATACGTACGTACTGACTCATGGTCCTCATAACAATTTTTCTTGTGAGGTAGTTGGTATTTTGCCTGTCAGTAGATTCTTTGGAGCTGTAATGTATGCTTTTATGCAACCCATGCATGTAGTGGGAACTCTAGTGACTTTACATCTATACCAAATTACTTCAATATTTGTACAGGTCCCTCCCAAAACCCAGGGGATTCTCTTGGCTTCTACAGAATTCTAATGAATCTCACATTTTACCTAATTGTAGGCTCCTTTGAAGTGCCTGGTAGTAGCTTTTATTCCTTAAACAATGAGGTGTGAACTGGACTTTTGTTGGAGTCAGACAAAGTGCTACTTAATTTCAGCCCCAACTTGCATATCTTGTTTTCTCACTGCAGAAGGCCCAAGTATGGATTGCTACTGATTCTAAATATTTTACATTGTAACCATGTCAAAGGTTAAATCAAAGCCTGCTTGCATAAAGTGCTATAAAAAATATAATTAATTATAGTCCCTGTCCCAGTGAGCTCGCAGTCTGAAATGTAAAACATACAGGTGGAAGGGTGGGGATGGGGGAAATGGTAACAAAAATAATAGAATGAGCACAATTCTTAATTAGCCAGAAGCAGTAATCATAACTCCCCATGAGTCTAGACTAGTGATTCTCAACCTATTTGTCATAGTGAGCCACAAATGCAGCTCTCAATGTGTTATGTGTGTCGCACCCACACAACTTATGGGCTACAGCAGTGTGTTGATTGGGCTGCATGTGGTCCGTGGGCTGCAGGTTAAAAAACACTGATCTAGACAATGAGAAGGCAGTTTTCTATAGGTTATTAAGGAAGTGGTATACTTTGAATTGAAAGAGGATAAGGTTGCGGCTCTACAGATTTTGATGGGAGCTTATTTTACATGGAAGGGATGAGGTTTATGGCTCAGGAAATATCCCTACTCCAAAGGCCCTTATTAAATAAAATTCTGAACATGCACTAAGAAGTACTTTCTCTTATACTGTCTATACAATGCTGAAGGTGCTTTTCATTTTACTCCAACATAGGGGTGGAAATACCACGACACAAGTTCATTACAATGCTTTGTCTTTTTTTGTCTCAGAGGACAAAACAGAAACAGTTTCCTAGTCTCCCATAAGTCAAAGGCCATCAGCCAGGAGTGGGGGCTGCTTGGGACCTCCAAACTGGCTGTAAGATTTCCTGATGATGAGTAGCTTACATCCCTCCAGCCCAACTTTCACAAAGTACTATGCGCACACAGCTCAGTGTAGTGTGAGTGCTCAGCACCTCTGAAAGCCAGGTTTTTTCCCTTTTGGACAAACCATTTAAGACCCACTAATCACATTGGAGCATGATAGATGAACCAGAAAAGCACAGCATTTTAGTACACTGTAATATTTAGTTTTGCAGATTTATGCTAGTATAAATCAGACCAAAATCTGACCCACTATTTCTAAATCAGGCTTCCCAACATGAAAGTCCACTGCTTTCCTAACTACAAGGAATCCGTTAAAAATACAAAAAAAGACCTACATACACAGAAAAGGCCCACAGAGCAATATCTATTTTATCTTCTAAAGTAACAATATTTAAATGATAATGATTAAAATTTTACCATTACTGGCCCGCTGCTTTATTGTTAGCATTTGTTCCCCAGACAGCTTTGCCTTCTTCATGGCTGAAGTGGCTCTGGGGCATCCCGATAGACTGTAAACAGTAAAAAAAGAGTCTATTAATTGAAAGAGGTCATTAACGATAAATCAACTAAGACCAGCCTGAAAACAACAGAGAGGAATTTTGTCCACATTGTGTTTGGTTCTGAAAAAGAACAAGAATTTATTATAAATGATCCCCTACTTTTTCACTTCCACCCTCACCTCTTTCCATTCATGCAGATTACATAGAAAACTAGGAAAAGGTAAAACATGTAAAAGTTCTAAACAATTCAGTCGGATGCAGTGCCCTTGTAAGAAATTAGCTTTTCTAAAGGATGACCACTTAAGTGTCCAAATTAAACAAAACACTATTGCCCCCACCCCCTCCAGTTTATAAACACAAACATGGTCATTCTGCATTTCAAGGACAGGAGAGACAAGCTGGCTGTATCTTCAACACTTAGCTCATTTGAATGATGAGCACCTTTAAAGTATGTTTGTTTTTATAAAGTTCTCTTGTTCACATAAGTGAATTGTCTTCTTCCCAACCGGCGTTTTAAAATACGTGATATACATAGTATCAGTCTGTTAGAAAAAGTGCATTTCCCAGTAAATAGTGAAAATTATATACAATTTACATAAAACTAGATTTGACAGTATGTATTAGGCCTAGTTCCTCCAAAATCTACATATTATTCTACATACTAAATCTACATACTATTTTGAGTGCAGTTTTATACATTACAGGTGAGTACATATCTAAATAGTTTCATGAAATGTGGAATTTTAGCTATGATTCAGGAAGTTGAGGAAAATGTAACAGTCCATTTAAAACACAGATAATTGAAGGTCTGAAGCAATTTTTCTCTTTCAGTTCATTATCTCTTAAATGTAGGACAAACTAGTTACCCAGTTAAGCTATAAAGACTTTGATTAATATCTAGTGTAATGTTGAGCTCCTGTACTATAAAGGCCGCCACAGAAATTCATTTAGCCAAAATATGATATCCCCTATAGAACAACTTCCAGTCAATCAGTAATTTTTTACATTTGTAAATGTGTGCACAGAAAGCTCGATAGTGAGCAAGAACTAGTAAAGCAGAAACTGTTGACTTTAGAAATGGTATCTGAACTATTACAAGTATATGGAATATCTGTATCTGTCACTATTAGCTCAGTGGTTTTATTTACTCATTAATTAAATATTAGGCAAGATCTCAGCCAGTGTAAATCAACATAGCTACATAGCTATACTGTCTTCAACAGAACTCTGTCAACTTACAGCAGCTGGCATTTAATTATTGGCAAAATTGCTAATATACAGAAATCTTACTACCTTTTTCCCTCTTTAAATTCTTATCCCACTAAAGTAAATGGAGAGTTGCCATTGACTTTACTGAGGCCACTATTTCACCATGTATCTTCAAAAAATGTCCCTAAAGGATCAAAAACGGGATGTTGCCATTGCTAGTCGTGGGATGTATGTTAGAATGCTGAATTTGTGATGTGTACGGATGCAGACTCAGTTATCCATTGTGTCACTTAAGTTGCCCAAAAAGTTTAAATTGCTTTTCATATGGCTTTCTTCTAATTATAGAGTATAGAAAAGCTTGTCATGAGAATGCATTCTTTCTGCTCCCTATTGTGATGAGTGAAAACAATGGTCAGGATATCCTGTGCTTACCATTTTACATCTGAAATTAACTATGGGCAAAAAACTATCCCCATCTCTAAAAATCATGTCCTTGATGCTTTTATTTTGAATGGAATGGGGGAAAAAGGGAAAATATATTCACTGTCATTTTGAGGTAAAGTATTATTTTCCCATTTCTATCAACCTTGAAAACCAAAGGAAATTTTGAAATGCTTCCAAGAAACTTGTTCTATGTTGTTCAATACACACGCACATACACACACACATTATGATATATAATAATATAATACAGGCAGTCCTTGACTTACAACCTTTCAAATTACAATATTTCACACCTACAACGTTTATAAATTGCTATCCTGTTTCAATTTTATGACATCAGTTTCAACTTTACAATGCTTGATCCAATGAGACACCATACCAGCGAACAAGTTCGCTGCGTTGCTCATCTCCCTGGAGAACATCTGTCCAAACTTCCTTGGACACTTCCTTTAAGAAAGCAGATGAGACTCCAGAAAAACCTGTAGCCAAGACTCCTGAGAAGACTCCAGCCAAGAACCCTTCAAAAAATCCAAACAAGAGCCTTTCAAAAAGTCCAGCAAAGTCACCTCAAAGAAGTCCTTCCAAATCCATACGATTGCTATTTACAAGATAAATACATTAATGTAGCTATATTACTCACCTATAATTGGTGGAGTAGAAAATTCTGGGGTATTTTTAGTGAAAATAGGGTATCGGGCCTCGGTTCAGGAACCAATCCCCTATTTATAATCTAGTTTCTTATGAAAAAATTGGTTCCGAATTACAACGTTTCAACTTAAGACGTGGTATCCAGGAACCAATTGTGTCGTAAGTCCGAGGACTGCCTGTACACAAATGCATATGTATATACATACGGACATATATAAGATATAACTTAGTGGACCTCTATATTCTACATGCTACATACATCCCACTGAATGCATTTACAGTTAGTTCTCAGAGATGGAGTAGACTATTAAAATGTAAGTGCCACACTAGGTCAAAAGAATGGTCCAACAAACCCTTCACACAACAAATAGGTCTGTCTCTAACAGTGGCAGTACTGGATGCTTTAGAGGGAGAGTCCTGAATCAGATACATCTAGAGTGATCCTTACCCTTACCCTGTTCCTTACCCTCCGTTATTGGTTTAGAGATACCAGAGGAAACATCTTCAACCATTCTGTTCAATGACTATTAACAGATATATCATACATGAATTTGTCTAGATCCTTTTCCAACCTGGCTATGCTATCTGCCTCTATCACCTCTTGTGGCAATGAATTCTACAAGTGTAATAAAAAAATACTTTCGCTTCTTGGTTTTAAACCTGTCTCTACTAATTTCAGTGGGCACTCCCTAGTTCCAGTATTCTGGGACTTGGTGAACAGCAGTTCCCTGGGTCCACACTCTTCATGATTTTATAGACCTCTATCATATCCCCCATCACCTCTCTTCTAGTATAGCAACTACTCCAGGCCTCTCTTCACATTGGGTGCCCTTCTCTGTACTTTTCCAATCCTATTACATCCTTTTTGGGAGATGTGGAGACCAGAACTGTACATATTTCCATATTTATGATGTGAGTGCATCATGGATTTGTAAAATGGCATGATGATGGTCTCCATTTTGTTTTCAATTCATTTCTTAATGATACCCAGCATTTTACTGACTTTTTTGATTGCCACTACACAGTAAGATGACATTTTTAGAGAACTATCTACAATGACTCCAAGGTCTCTTTCCTGAATCATAGAATCTATTTCAGTTGAAGTTGAAGTATTTTTACCCAATGTGTATTACCTGGCACTTGTCCACAGTGAAGTTCATCTACAACTTTTTACTCACTAATCTGGGTGAGATTTCTCCACAGCTTCTCTTCTTCAGTTTGGGATTTGACTACCCAGAATAAATCGGTATCATCAGCAAATTTGGAGCTTTCTCTATGCACACCCATGTCCAGGTCACTGATGAAAATGTTGAGCAAAATTGGGCCCAGCACAGATCCCTGCGGGACCACATTTCTGACCTCCCACCATCCTGAAAAGTGATCACTACCCTTTGTTCCCAATCTTTTAACCAGTTCTCAATCTATGAAAAAAACTTTCCTCCAGTCCCCTGGAAGCAAAGTTTGTTTAAAAGCCTTAGGAGAAGGGTCTTGTCAAAAGCTTTTTTAAGTCCAAATGTATCCGTCTTGTCCACATGCTTGTTAAAAACCCTCCAAGAACTCCAGTAGACTGGCAAGGCAGGATTTCCCTTTACAAAAAACATGCTGACTCTTCCCCAGCTGATCTCATATGTCCATGTGACTGCTGTTCTAACTGAGTTGCCAGAATTGGAAGAGAGACTCACCAGTTTTCAAGATCACGTTTGGAGACCTTTTTGAAGGTGAGTGTTATTTTGGCAACATATCAGTCCCCTGGCAAAGAAGCCATTTGTAACAACAGTTTTTACAGAGATCTCCACTACACATAGATGAATTGTCTTCTTTCCAAAAGGCTTTTTAAAATATGTAACATATCCTGGATCAGGCTGTTTGCTGGACTTTAGAAAAAGAACATTTCCTAGCAGACAGTGAAAATTATATACACTTAATATAAAACAGTTCTGCAATTTCTGCTTTGAGTTCCTTCAGAACTCTCAGGTGAAGGTCATCTGGTCCTGGTGACTTCTTATTACTTTATTGATTTGTTCTAAAACTTCTGTTGTCACTTCATTGTGCTCCAACTCTTCAGACCTATCTAGTAGGAAGGCTTGATGCAGCATGGGAATTTCCCCAGTATATTCTGAGATAAAAACTGATGCAAAGAATTCATTCAGCTTCTCTGCTATCGCTTGACTGTCCCTGACTGAACCTTTTACACCTTGGTCATGGCTCCACTGATTCACTCAATGGCTTCCCGCTTCTAATGTATTTTTTTTTAAGTTTTTTTATGATTAACTTTAGCATCCTTTGCTAGATGAAAAATTCCTAATTATGTTGTAATTATTCACAGATCTAGTTTAAATCTGGAGTCAAGATGAGTACTGCAATTTACTTTCTCCTATATAATCTAATTCCAATTTGAAACAGGTTTCCAAGGGATGTGGCATCTTCTCTAGCACACAACATTTTAAACTAAAAGTTGATGTGTTACTAAATTATATGCTTTATTTCAACCACAAGTTCTCAAGCTTGATGAAGTAATACATAGGTGAAGTTCTGGCCAGGTACAGATATTACACTTTTACCAGTATAAGTGATTGGAAACCAGTCTATATGCGTAACAAAACAGAAGTTCAGCACACAAAACTGCTCTATACCCGTAACAGGAGAGAAGTTTGATACACACAAAACCTGATCGAAGATTTACCACACCACACCCCACCAAAGGGTTC